TGCACTTGTCAGAGATGGAGAGAGGGAAAGTGAGAAATTATCCCCCAAGGTGGATGGTCACATGGCAACCCTTTCTCCTACATTTTCCTCTTGGGATTTGGGGAACACATGCACACATGCCTGGTGTGATTTTTAAGCTGCTGGGTCTGGGACTCAAACTGTGGTTAGACATGTTGGGATCCAGTGCCTTAACTACATCACCTGCTGACCCCAAGAGTTCTATTTCTTAATTTTTATTTATTTATTTATTTTTTTGGAGAGGTTTTTGCTATAGGGTGCGTGCGCTCGCCAGACAGACAGAGAGAGAGACAGAGAGACAGAAAGCGAGAAATCACCCCCCAGGGGGGATGGCCATGCCGCAATCCCTTCTCCTCCGTTCTCCTCTCGGGATCTTGGGCATGCACGCACACGCGCCCGGCGTGAGTTTTAAGCCACTGGGTCCAGGACGCGAACTGCGGTTGACTACGTGGGAGTCCAGCGACATAGCCATTATGCTAACTGCTGGTTCCCCTATTTCTTAATTTTTTACTTTTGCTGTAAGATTAAATGCAATGTTAAATAGAAATTATATTGGGCCTTCTTGTTCCCAGTTCAGAGATGTGTTCAATATTTTCCCCATTAATTTTCATTGTATATGAGGGAACTTCAGAAAATTCATGGAAAATGGGAAATTAAAGTATGAGCTTATGTGATGCACAAAGATTTTGAAATCTGTGCTTTGTCATAAGGGATGTGTCTTGCTGGAGAGAGTCAGAGACAGAGAGAGGTAAAGTGAGAAATCACCCTCCAGGATGGATGGGCATGCTGCAATCCCTTCTGCTTCATTGTTCCCCAGAATTTTGGGCATGCATGCAGACATGCCTATGCCTAGCATGAAAAGCCACTGGGTCTGGGCCTTGACCTATTGTTGGCCATGTGGGAGTCCAGTGTCTTAACCACCATGACACTTTCATGAACTTTTTTTTTTTAAGAGAGAGATTTTTGCTATAGGTTGTATGCACTTGCTGGAGAAACAGAGAGAGAAAATGAGAAATCACCCCCTATGGGCTATGCCCTGCCACAATCCCTTCTCCTCCATTCTCCTCCTGGGATCTTGGTCATGCATGTACATGTGCCTGGCATGAATTTCAAGCCTCCTGTCCAGAACTCAAAATGCAGTCGGCCATGTGGGAGTCTAGCACCTTAACCACTATGCCACCTGCTGGCCCCCTTTTCATGAACTTCAAAAATCTTTCTTGGGACCAGAAGATGGCATAATGATTATGTTGCTAGACTCCCATGCAGTAGAACGCAACTCGAGTCCAAGACCTGGTGGTTTAAAAATCATGCCAAAATCATGCCATGGGGACCAGCAGTTAGCATAATGGCTATGTCACTGAACTCCCATGTAGTCGACTGTGGTTCAAGTCCCGGGCTGGGTGGCTTAAACTCACACCGGGCACATGTGCGTGTGTGCCCAAGATCCCGAGAGGAGAATGGAGAAGAAGGGATTGCGGCATGGCCATCCCCCTGGGGGGTGATTTCTCGCTTTCTATCTCTCTGTCTCTCTTTCTGGCGAGTGCATGTGCCCTATAGCAAAAACCTCTCCAAAAAAAAAAAATCATACCAGGTGCGTGTGTGTGTGTGTGGGCCAAAGGTCCCGAGAGTAGAGTGGAGGTGAAGGGATTGAGGCATGGCCATCCCCCATGGGGAATGAGTTCTTGCTTTCTGTCTCTCCATCTCTCTCTGTCTATCTGTCGAATGTATACGCTCTATAGCAAAAATCTAAGGAAAAAAATGAACAGCACTTTTTTTCAAGAGGCAGAGATACAGCACACGCCCTCCCAAAGTGGGTGTTCATGCCATGACACGCCCAGTTTCAGCCATCTTGGATTGCTGATGTGTGTGCTTGCTCAGACTGCTCGGGAAGGCCTCAGGATTTTTCGCATGCAGGTCCAGTTGTGTTTCCACTGTGCCACTACCTGGCGCCTCCTTGAACTTTTTAAAGGCCCCCCCCCCCATATACAGGGATTTATGTCTGTTTCTTTCTTTGTTTTTGGTTTTGCTATAAGATGCACGCACTTACCAGAGACAGAGAGAGAGAAAGAGGGAAAGTGAGAAATCACACCCCAGAGGGGATGGCCATGCTGCAATATCTCCTCCATTCTCCTCTCGGGATTCTGGGCACACACGCACACATGCCTGGTGTGATTTTCAAGCTGCTGGGTTGGGGACTTGAACTGCAAAGTTGGCCTTGTGGGATCAATGCCTTAGCCTCTGTGCCACCTGCTGTCCCTCAAGGATTTATTTTTATAAATAATTTTTTTTTTTGGATTAAGAGGGTTCTCTTTATTTCTAGTTTATTACAAATGGTTATCAAATGATTTTTCTGCATCTATCGAGATGGCTACATATTTTTCTACCTTTTTCTGTTCATGAGGTAAATTATTCTGAGTTTTTGAAATTAAACTCAACTTGTGTTTCTGTTAAGACCAATTTTGTCATTATGTATTCTTTTCACATATATTATTCAGTTCTACTTATTCATTACCTTTGGGAACTTTCTTGGCTATGATCATGAGAGCATTTAGTCCATGTTTTTTCCTTTTTTTTTTTTCTTAATGTCCCTGTCAGTTTGAGATCCTTGTCTAGGTTATGTTGTTTAATGAGTTGGGAAGTTTTTACTCTTTATAATCTGAAAGACTGGAAGACTGATAGTCCTTTCTTAAATTTTTGAAAGATGACAAGGGAAGATATTTGGGGAAGGACTTTTTTTGGGGTGTGAAGGAATTGCATTTCAACTTTGCCAGAGAATGCACTTGCTTGCCAGAGAGAGGAAGTGCCATAGAGAGAGGAAGAGAGAGTGCCCCCTACAAGGCATGGTCATGACACAATCTTCTCCATTTCTTCATCCTGTTGGGATTTTGGACACACATGCGTATGTGCCCAATATGTTCTTTTTTTTTTTTTTTTTTTTCTATCGAGATGGCTACATATTTTTCTACCTTTTTCTGTTCATGAGGTAAATTATTCTGAGTTTTTGAAATTAAACTCAACTTGTGTTTCTGTTAAGACCAATTTTGTCATTATGTATTCTTTTCACATATATTATTCAGTTCTACTTATTCATTACCTTTGGGAACTTTCTTGGCTATGATCATGAGAGCATTTAGTCCATGTTTTTTCCTTTTTTTTTTTTCTTAATGTCCCTGTCAGTTTGAGATCCTTGTCTAGGTTATGTTGTTTAATGAGTTGGGAAGTTTTTACTCTTTATAATCTGAAAGACTGGAAGACTGATAGTCCTTTCTTAAATTTTTGAAAGATGACAAGGGAAGATATTTGGGGAAGGACTTTTTTTGGGGTGTGAAGGAATTGCATTTCAACTTTGCCAGAGAATGCACTTGCTTGCCAGAGAGAGGAAGTGCCATAGAGAGAGGAAGAGAGAGTGCCCCCTACAAGGCATGGTCATGACACAATCTTCTCCATTTCTTCATCCTGTTGGGATTTTGGACACACATGCGTATGTGCCCAATATGTTCTTTTTTTTTTTTTCTTTTTTTGGAGAGGTTTTTTTCGCTATAGGGCGCGTGCACTCGACAGACAGACAGAGAGAGAGAGAGAGAAAGCGAAAAATCACCCCCCAGGGAGGATGGCCACTCCGCAATCCCTTCTCCTCCATTCTCCTCTCGGGATCTTGGGCACACACACACATGCGTCCGGCGTGAGTTTTAAGCCACCGGGTCCGGGACTCGAACCGCAGTCGACTACGTGGGAGTCCAGCGACATAGCCATTACGCCAACTGCTGGTTCCCAAACAATCTCTGTTTCATAGAAGCATAGATACCTGGGTATTATACATCAGTTTGCATCTATTAAAGTTTACTCATTGTAACATACAGTTCTGAGGACTTTGACAACTGCATAGACTTGTGAATCCACCACTGGTACTGCACAGAACTATTCTTCCATTCCCAAAGCTTCCCTTTGAATCCTTATAAATGCCTCCCTCCAACCTCTGATAACTGCTTACTTATTTTCCATCCTTATAGATTTATCTTTTTCAAAATATCATATGAGTGAAATCGTATCACAGGTAACCATTTGTGCCTTTTTTTTCATTTAGTAAAATGCATTTCATGCATTACGATTGTATGGATTAATAGCTTCTTTCTTTTTAAAATTTTATTTGTTGTTATTATTATTCTTCAGTTTGACCATGCACAAACACACACACACTGAACAAGCAAGTCACCGGGTCCAGGACTCAAACTGTGGTCAGTCATGTGAGAGTCCAGTAACATAACTACCATGCTACCTGCAGGCCCCAATAGCTTGTTTCTTAGTGATTCATATCATAAATTTGCTGACCCTTGCACTACTAAAGATATAATTGTTTATAGTAGTTAGCGGTTACATGTGAAGCTGCTATAAACTTTCATGTACAGGTTTTTGTGTGGACATGAGCTTTGCATTCATTTAGGTACATGTTCAGGAGCTTGACTGATGGTAAATTTATGATTAACTTTATAAGAAACTTCCAAACTGTTCTTTACTGTATGAGTTTAACAAATAGTTGTGTAAGAAATAACAGAGTTTGAGAATCATGTTTTGCAACCATGATATTACTAATAACTGATACAGAAAAGAATCCTCAATGAATGCTAAAATAGAGTGAGACTTGGAGGAAGAATGGAATAGTTACATTGTTTCAAAATATCTCTGTATCAGTTGCACTGAGAAACCATAACTTTATAGTGGAAATACCTGGCCAACAGTGCTTTAACTAAATGACGCAGAATGGATCAAACTGACATTGTGGGTCTCCTGGTGTGATTCTCTGAGAATACAACATCACTTCTGCAACATTCCCGCCTACGATGCATAACTTGAATCAAATCATGAGATGTCAGATACACCCAAGCTGAAGGACTTGCTCTCAAATAAATGGCCTGTCCTCTACAAAAACACCGAAAACATTAAAGAATGTCCGACGAATTGTTCTAGATTAAAGGAGACAAAAGATACCTGACATGGACTATTGTTTATTTTCCTGGATTAGATCCTGAGCTGGAAAAAATGACTATAAAGAACATTATTGTGACAATCTGAGCATTTTGTTTTTTTAAAGATTTGTGCCATAGGGTGTGTGAGCTTGCTGGAGAGACCAAAGCAGTGAGAGGGAAGGTGAGAGATCATCTCTTGGTGTCTGGGGGAATGGCCACGCTGCACTTCCTTTTCATCAGTACTCATCTTGGGACTCTGCACATGCACGCACACATGCCTGGCATGATTCTCAAGCCACCAGATCTGGGACTCGCACCATGGTTGGCCATGTGGCAGTCCAGGGCCTTGACCACCATGTCGCCTGTGTGCCTTCAATCTGCAAAATTTGAATTGGGAAAGTGATATCGAGTCAATATTAACTTTTTTGGTTTTGATTATTATGCTCAAAGAAATCTGGGGATTTAATTAAAAAAATTAGTGTAATTTACATCACAGACACTGCTTAGCTGGTTAGCAGTCCAGGAGGAATGAGGCAAAGAGAGGGAAGAAACACTGAATGTTTTTTTTTTTGTTTGTTTGTTTTTTAGAAATTTTTACTATAGGGTGCATGCACTCACCAGAGAGACAAGAAACAGAGAGACAGTGAGAAATCATCCTCAAGGCGGGATGGCCACTCTGCAATCCCTTCTCCTCCATTCTCCTCCCTGGATCTTGGGCGCACACGCACATGCACCCGGGTCTGGGACTTGAACCGCAGTTAGCCATGTGGGAGCCCAGCGACATAACCGCTACGCCATCTGCTGGCCCCAAACACTGCACTTCTGTTTCAGTTGACTTACCAGTTCTTGCCGCCTTTCCATGTCGCTGGGACTGGGGGAAGAAGGTGCCTTTGGGCTAGGAGAGAAAAATGGTGGTGTGCACACGTCTCCCTTCATCCTGCCCCAGCTCTCCCGCATCTGCTCTGGCTGGGCCCATTGTCCCTCCCCCACTTGTGCCCCAGTCCTTCCCTCCTCCCAACCATGGCTACAGCCCAGACACTCACTGATAGCTGGCTCCTCCGTGGGAAGTGAGTCATTCCTGCCTGGGAGGGAGAAAAGAAGAGAAGAGAGGGGTCAGAGCCGGGGCTGGGGCAGGAAGTGCAGCAGGAAGGGAGGAGGTTCTAGTGAGGACTTCTGAGTGAGGGGCCCAGGTGTGAGTGATCGGGGTGACAGAGGACATGCCCAGTATCTCCCTTTAGGAGAGGAGAGTGGGGCCTCATGTCGGGCAGAGAGCAGGCTCAGAGACTAGCTGAACCCCCTCGCACCCCTCCTGGTCCTGACCAAACCTCACCCCAGGTCACGCTGAGGGGCCCTTCCAGGCCCGGGTGCTCCACCAGGCAGGTGTATCTCTGCTCCTCTCCAGGGGCAACCTGGACGGCCGCCCAGCCCTGGTATGTCCCGTCCCCGGCTGGCTGGGTCCCTCGGAGTCCAGTGTCCAGGGTCAGCTCCTTCCCGACTGGCAGCCAGGTCAGAGTGATGTTGGCCGGTGAGAAGCCAAACGCTCTGCACCGTAGGCTGTGATTGCCCTCAGGCTCCTCCTGCTGGGTCACCACCACCCTGGGGGGCACTCGGTTCCAGAAAGAAAGAGCACAGGGGCACATGGGACCGGAACCCCACCTCTGCTCTCCCCTTCCTCCACGGCGGGCGATTCCAGGCGGCAATGTGGTCAGAGTACAGAGCCCACATCCCACATTCCCTCCCAGGAAGCCAGCCAGGGCTTCAGTCCGCCTCAGTTCCTGCTGCAGCTGTGTGCCTGCCAGGGCGTGAGCCCAGGCGTGTGCAAAGGGCCATCTCGGACCCCTGCCTGCTCGTAACTGCAGGGCCCGGCCTCTCGCCTCCTTCAGACCCCATTTCCAATTCTCACCCTTTCCCCTCAACCTCTCTTTCTCTATTTTGCTCCATAACGTGTATCGCTGGTCCCCCTTTCCAGAAATGGGGGACCAGGACCCTTTCAGATTTGGATCCGGGGCTGGAGGAAGGTGCACCTTCCCTTCGCGTGATCGGAGTCACGCTTTTGTGGCCGCGGGTGGGCTCCTTACCGACCGGCGTGGGGCCCCCGAGCCCTGCGGCCAGCAAGCTCCGCAGCGCCGCCGGGCACGC